AAAAAAAAAAAAAAAGAAATACCTTGTTTATTGAGGTACTCAGAAGAGGCTAGAAAAATTAGAATATTGTTTGTTTCAATACACTTTTGTCAATTTAATATTTTGGGGGGAAGGCATTTTTGTCTTATATACTTGAAATATATTTTCTTCAAAAGTCGAGGCTATAGATTGAACTCGTTTGCAGGTAATTTTATATTTGCCATATAAGCAACCTAATGGGTAAAGCAGGTTCTCATCATAAACCAGCCAAATCAACTCACTTTCTATCAGAGTCTGACGTCTTTCAATTCAAGCAGCATTGTGTTAATATACACCCCTGTGACAATGGGTTCTGATGCTGGGTTAGAAGAGAGGGCAAGGTCCTTGAATGGGTGTGCTTGGTGAAATAGGCACGACTCCATTAACACGTTCTACCAGGGGTGGGTGTTCTCTTTACTCTGCTCTGCCTAGATCCCTTCAGGGACAAGGCATTTTTTTTCTGTCATGGGATGGAAGAGGTCATTAAACTTCTATCACCCTTACTTTCAATTCACTTTTTAATAGATTAATTTCAACATCTTAACATAAAACAAGACAGTCTATTTCTTTCCCTTTTTTTCTTTCTTCTTCTTTTTATATATATATCCATTATTTTTTTCTTTTTGAGACAGAGTCTCACTTTGTCTCCCTGGGTAGAGTGCCATGGTGAACAGTAACCTCAAACTCTTGTCTCCCTGGATAGAGTGCCATAGCTCACAGTAACCTCAAACTCTGGAGCTTAAGTGATCCTCTTGACTCAGACTCCCAAGTAGCTGGGACTACAGGCACCTGCCACAATGCCTGGCTATTTTTTTGAGACAGGGTCTCACTCTTGCTCAGGCTGGTCTTGAACCCATGAGCGCAGGGCGATCCACCTGCCTTGACCTCCCAAGTGCTCGGATTATAGGCATGAGCCGCCATGCCTGTCCTTTTTTTTTTCTTTTTTGAGATAGAGTTTCACCCTGTCACCCTGGGTAGAGTGTCATGGCATCATCATAGCTCACAGCAACCTCAAACTCTTGAGCTCGAGCGACCCTTTTGCCTCAGCACCCTAAGAAACTATGAATATAGGTGCCTGCCATGACGCCTGGCTAGGTTTTCTATTTTTAGTAGAGATGGGGTCTTGCTTTTGTTCAGGCTGGTCTCAAACTCCTGAGCCCAATCCACGTGCTTCAGTCTCCCAGAGTGCTGGGATTACAGGCATGAGCCACTGTGACTGGCCAAAACACTATTTCTAATGACAAACTTTGTCAGCACCAAAAATTTGTGTACAACAAAGCCATGAACCTTGACCTCAATGCCTTGATTAAAGAATGCTTTGCTGGCCAGCTTCGCTTTGTTACTGCCTGCTTACTTCTCTTTCTGCCTCTCTATACTATACTATCCTTGAGGTTGGGACTATGCCTTTATTAATTTCCTTGTCTCCAGAATTTAGCAGAGTGTACCCAACAGAGCTCACAGATAGTGAAAAAGGGAGGCAAGTAAACTGACCCGTGATACTACGTACATAACCCAGCCAGTGCTGAAACAGATATTTTCAAGGTGCTTTAGGAGCCGGAGGAAAGGAGGACTCATCTTCGGCATGAACAGTCAGGAAGCTTTGGGAAGGAGATGCTTATCCTCTGATTGGAGGACCCAAAGGAAGGTCTCATAAAATGCAGAGAATCTCTTAAAGACCCTCCCAACTCTCTGAGTTTCCACCTCAATGAAGAGGGAAGACTGAGGGTATTTCTGGATGTCACTTGGAGGGAGAGGAAAGGAATGGCACATCACAGAGCGGGGGCTTTCGTGATCTGTTTCTCTAACATTTCAGCCATTTGAGATTCCTTTCAGTCCTGCCTTCCTATCTATCCTGGCATCTTTGAAGATTTTCTTGCCTCAGCTTTGAGTGTTTTCTTTTCCCTCTTCCCTTTGACTAACTCGCAAACAGAGAAGGTTTCACTATTTAGAGAGGAAGGAGGCTTCCCTCTCCCCCTCAATTAGGGTGAACCTCACTGCCACACCCTCCCCAGCCGCCTGCTCTTCCTCTTTCTGAACGCTCACCTCATTGCACTGCCCTTCTGAAGGGCTTCCTCCCCTGCAGTCTGTGATCGATGACAGCAGGACCACGTCATTGTCAGCTCTGTTCCTGCTTATTCACAGGGCTTGGCGCAGAACCTGGCACATGGGAGGTGACAGAAATACTTGTAAATTGGTTCAGCGCCCGTAGCACAGTGGTTACAGCGCCGCCAGCCACATACACCAAGGGTTTGAACCCGGCCTGGGCCAGCTAAAATGGCTACAATGACAACTGCAACAAAAAATGGCGATGCATTGTGGTGGCTTCCTGTAGTCCCAGCTACTTGGGAGGCTGAGGCAAGAGGATCTCTTGAGCCCAGGAGTTTGAGGTTGCTGTGAGCTGTGACACCATAGCACTCCACCGAGGGCAACATAGTGAAAGTCCGTCTCAAAAAAAAAGAAAAGAAAAGAAAGAAAGAAAGAAATACTTGTAACTTACTTTGAATCTCAAGAACTAGTGCAACTTCCTCATTTTGAAGGAAAAAACCAAGGCAGAGATGGGGAAGTGCATTCTCCAGTTGCCTCAAGTTAGTGGCAGGGCCACTCCAAGAGACCACAGGGCTGGATTACTCTCTGCCCTCGGGTCCAACGAAGCTGTGTCTCCTCAGCCTGCTTCCTTCCTTCCAGAGCGCTGTGATGATCAGCGTGAGCATCCATTCTTTATATAATATAGGCTTTTATTTCATCTAAAACGTGTGCAGTGATGGCAGTCTCCCAGGACCTTTTTTTCCCTTTGAGACAGAGTCTCACTTTGACACCCTCAGTAGAGTGCTGTGGCATCCCAGTTCACAGCAACCTCAGACTTCTGGGCTTAAGTGATCCTCTTGCCTCAGCCTCCCAAGTAGCTGGGACTACAGGCACCCTCCACAATGCCCGGCTATTTTGTTGTTGTTGTTGTTGTTGTTGCAGTTGTCATTGTTGTTTTAGCTGGCCTGGGCCAAGTTCAAACCCGACAGCCTTGGTGTACATGGCCGCGCCCTACCCACTGAGCTACGGGAGTGCTGTGACAGTATCCTAGCTCACTGCAGTCTCCAACTCCCAATGCAAATGGTCCTCCTGCCTCAGCCTCCTGACAGGAACATTTCTGACTCACACAGAAATACCACTACTGCTTTCGAAGAGTGAAATTTGATGTTTATTTCCCCCCTACTTGTTAATTTGAAAACTTCTCAAATCTTTATAAAATTTGCATAGATGGGACAATAAACAATCATCTATGATTCATTCAGATTCATCAGCTGCTAACATTTTGCAGTGTTGTGCTCTGTCTATACACACACACACACGTATACATACGTATAGATGTACTCTGTGCAAATGCATGTACACATGAACTTATTTTTTACTGAACTATTTAAGAATCAATTGCAGACATTACATTTTACCCCTAAACACTTTAGCATGTATGTCCTAAGAATAAGAACATTCTCCTATACAAATATAGCATAATTGTCATAATCTTAACAGTCTATTAATATCTTACAATATGTTAACTAATATACATCCATAGTTCTCCAATTATCTCAATTATGTCCTTTATAAGCTATCCTTTTAAAGAAAAAGGTCCAGCACCCAGTCCAGAATTGCATTTGGTTGCCATATTTAGTCTCCTTTAACCTCAAACAGTTCCCAACTATTTTAACTTCCCTGATATTGACTTTTTTTTCTTTGAGACAGAGTCTTAGCCTGTGCTATCAGTTGAGCGCCATGATGTCATAGTTCACAGCAACCTCAAACTCCTGGGCTCAAGCGATCCTCATGCCTCAGCCACCCGACTAGCTGTGACTATGGCATGCACCACCATGCCTGGGTAGTTTTTCTATTTTTAGTAGAGACGGGGGTCTCATTCTTGCTGGGGCTGGTTTTGAACTCCTGAGATTAGGCAATCCATCCTCCTTGGCCTCCCACGGTGCTAGGATTAGGCGCGAGCCATTGCATCCGGCCTGATAGTGACATTTTTTGAAGAGTCCAGTCCAGTTGTTTTGCAGAATGTGGTTTTGTCTGATTGTTTCCTCATGGTTAGATTAATTTTTTTGTTGTTGTTAGCAAGATGCCACTTGCACGCTACTGTGGGTGCCTTTTCATTGCAATGCCTCCTTTTCAGATGTGAGAAAGCTCTGGCCTTGTTGTTGTTGTGTCCTTTTATTTAATGTTTACTCTGCATGCACGCCATACCTCCAGAGTTCTGGGCCTTAAGGACATTTCAAGCCTGGACATATATGGGGAGAAAGTATAAGTGTTCACCTGTGTCCCAGATCCCCAGATCCTTAGGGACAGGCAGTGGGGCAGACCCAAGGAGCTGACAGTTGAAGCTACAGCTTCAGTCTTGGTAGAGTTCACTGCCAGGAATGGCTGCTGGCTGTGAGACACAAGCTGGGCAACTAGGGCTGAGGTGAGGACTTCTTCCCACCAGGTGCTCCAAGTGGTCAGTGGCCAGCCAGTTCCTCAGCAATGGGTCACCTGCTGCTGCGGCCACTCTCTGCTGATGCGGCTGCAAGGGAAACAATAAGAGGGCTGAGGGGGGTGGCCACACCAGTGTAGCCCTCCAGGAAGGAAGAGACAGCAAGTGGACAGGGATAGAAAGACAGAGGGAGCCCGAATAAAAACCAGAATGAAAAAGTAAGAGACAGAGGGGACACACTTACCAGAGAAGGAAAGAAAATCAGATAGAAAAACACACAGAGATGGAGAGAAACCAAGGGAGACTCAGATACGGAGGCCCACAGAGAAAAGGAAACACCGGCTGATAAGCTTCACTAACAATTTACAAGCTTGTTCCTGAGGCTCTTTGGCTTTGGGATTTGGGACAGTGAAGAGTGTCTGTGTTTATACTGGTCAGACTCCAAAGGCACAAGGTTTTCCCCCAAGGGGCTGTGTGGGGTCACCTGCTCAGGCTGTACTTTTCCGAACACAGCACTTCTCCTTTGTTCCCAGAAGCCAGGCCCAGGGCCAGCAGTTAGTTCCCTGCTCCAGCTCCGGTGTCTCTCCTTTGTTCAGAGGGCTTTCAGCAGAGAGGGACACCTACTGTGACACATCTAGGGTGGAGAGGAGAACCAGGAGACAGTGGAGAAGACAGAAGAGAGGATCCAGAGAAAAGACAGCATTAGAAATAGCCTTCCCTCTGGAGTAGGGAGGAATCCAAAATTCCAGAAGCTGCCCAGCGGGTGTGACCTTAGCTAATAATAACAGGCCAGGGTTTTCTCACGAGAAAAGAGATCAGGGAGGAGGAGGAGGGAGGGAGAGAGGCTGCTCAGCCCTTAGACTGAGGGTGATGCACGTAGCATCAAGGGTCCTGCCAGAGCCAACCCCCTCTGCGGAAGGGCTCTGTTAGAGAACAGTAATGGACAGCAATGTGCTTTTCCTTGGCAGGCAGAAAAAAAACGTGGACAGAGCATGGCCAGGGTTCTTTTTTGGCATCACACCTGAACCCAAGTGAAGAAGCCCCTTTCTGCCCTCTGCTCTTGGCCAGAAAAACAACCTCTTGTTCCTGCTTCTTACTGATGAGATTGAGAGGTGTTAAGGGGCGACACAGGACATCCCGCAAACTCTCCAGCCATTCGTGCTGCTCCTTCTCGCTGGGGCAGGTGAAGACAAATCTCCGCTCTGGGGTGACAATGGTGAGGCCAGCTTTCCAGCGATTCCCTCGGATGCCCTTGGGGAGGTCTTCATATACTTCATACCCCTGCTCACTGCTCCCGAGAAAAACCTGGCCCTGCTCAAAAGCATCCTGAAAATAGAGAGTACGTGGTCGTCTGAGGCCGCCCCAAGGGAGAAGGGCCCCTGAATCCCTGACGGCTCCCAAGTTTTATTTGGGGAAAGGGGGTGAGTATTCCTGCCAAGATTTCGGCTAGATGGGACTGAAAATTTGAAAGATTAAGACACCCTAAAATAAGTCACACACATCATCTGTTAAAAAGATACTTAACATTCACAGAGAGTTTATTAAATTAAGCACAAGGAATTTAAGTGCTTTGTATGTAATAACTCATCATGGAAACCTCCGAGAAAGGCATTCTTGTTAAGCCCATTTTTCAGAGGAGGACACTGAGGCACAGAGGATGGCTAAGTAATCTTGCCCAGGGCACACCATTTTGGGTTTGAGATCAAGAGCCCAGGTAGCTGTGTTCTGGAGCCCACACTCCTAAGCCCTGTACTTCATGGGATCCATAGAAGGAACACATCTTATTTAACTACAATTGACAGCATTTTGCATGCTCATAATTCCTGAAGGTGAGAGGTGAGAAAAGCTTCTGAATGGGAAAAGCTTCATGTACAGGTAATGATTTAGAGAGAAGCAAAGGGTAGAGGTCTTCCTCCCTGGTGTCTCTAACACCCTGGGGAGGAAGCCTCCCTGGGGCTCTGGGAGATGTGTTCATTTGTAGTTTCCCCTGGTGTCCCAGACAAGCAACATCACAGCTTCATCTGGGAAGGCCCCGGGGAGAGACCAGGAGTGGCTCTTACCAGTGGGTTCTTATAATAGAGCAGCCTCCGTTCCTGGGAATCCAGGGCAAACCACCTTTTCTTAAAAGGTTCTCTCTGCTGCAAAAGAAGGAACCCCTTACCAGGGATGACAAGGCCAAGGAAGCACATCCTGAGGACAGAGGTCAAGGGCCAGCCCAAGCCAAGCTGAGGAAGCTGGCCAGTCCCACTGGTTCTCCAGCCCAGCCTGCACAGTCAGACACCCTCAAACATCTCCCTGGGGCCCAGGCTCTAAGGCTCTGCCCACCCTCCTGCCCACGGGCTATCTAAGGCTCTGCCCACCCTCTTGCCCACCTCTACCAGCTTCATCCTGCTGCCCCCAGGTGCTGCCTTGGGTTGGAAGAGGTGCTTCCCTCTTTCTCAGGCTGTGGACAAAGAAGTCTTAGAAAAAGGAAGTTGGGGAAATCAGAAGTGGTTGCTCCACAGCAAGGCCGAAAGTGCTGGCCTTGGCCAGATTCTAATCTAAGTCAAGGGGAAAAAAGCCCTGGGAGAAGAACCACAGGAGGGGCTGTGCCCTGGGCTAGCGAAGGAAGGGAACCCAAAAAACCTCAGACTTCTTCTTCAGCTGCCCACAGCTGGCTGCCATGCTGTCCTCTTAACAACTCAGCCCATAAACACATCCAATCTTTTTTTTTTTAAAGCACTGAAATATTGCTGTTTCCAGGGAAATTTTTAAGGGAGCTCCCCCTGCTTTTCCCTTCCTTTTCCTTCCTGGCCTCCTCAATGGACTTTGAACTTTGAGCCCCACCACACCCAGCATCTGCCCCTCTGGACGCTCCATGAGAGAGGAGGCTCCGGGACAGCTTTCCCTTCCTCCATAGATAAGTGGGAATGAGCAGCCACTTGGGAGTGTGTGCCGGGAGGGTATGCACACAGCCCCTGGGTGCATGATTCTCAGACTAGTCACACTGTTCTCAGAATGGTCACCAGCCCTGTGTCCCTTGGACAGACCTCATAGGCCCCAGGCACAGAGCACAAGCGTCCTAGGAAGCCCAGAAGCTGTGGCCCCAGGGAGTCTCTTTTCAGCTCTGCTTTCCCAGGGGCAGAGCCAGTTAGATGGAGGTAGGAGGAGAAAGAAGCTGATGTGGGCAACCCCTAAGGCTGGGGAGAAGCACTTGGGGCTCCCTGTCAGCTAACACCTACTCTCCACATCAGCCCATAAGCACTGTTGTACTCACAAACCCACAGACATGGGCTCACTTCCCTTCCTTCCCATCCCAACCTTACCCCATTCTCTACCTCCCAAGTTCGGCCCTACTGCTGGCTGGGCCAGGGCCAGGTAAGTCCCCCAGGGAGTGGCAGAATGTACCTTTGGGCCAGTCTTTTCCATGAAGCCTTGTTTGAGGTAGTTCCTGGTGAGGAGGGGCACGAGCTGAGAAAAAAGAAACAGATACTGAGCCCCGATGCCAAGCTTGGCTCCACAAAGGGGAAGTTGGGAATGGGGAAGGATATGTGCTATGCGCCCGAGGGTCACCAGGTTATATATGGAAAGTAGAAAGAATGTAATATTAATATTTCAACAAAGCCAGTCAACAGCACTGCAGATGTCTACACAGCTTACTGGCATGGCTGAGTCTTGGTTCTCAGTATGAGGTTCTGGGCAATCCCTCAGATTTAGTAACCCCTGGGTATGGACACAGGCAAGGCTACCAGGAGACCCTCTTGGTGTCAAGGAGCACATTCCAAGGATATAGTTCTCAGCCACTCTGTGAAGTTGCTATTATCAGCCTCATTGTACATCTGAAGAAACCAGTCCTCGGAGAAGAGGTCAGGGTGCACAAAGCACTGGGATTCTGGACACTTGACTGGACTCCTACCACCACTCTATGATACTAAAGTATAAACGCGCCAGAGACTCGGAGCAGGCCCCTGGCCAAGATCCGGTCGCTGGGAGGATACTGACCTGGTCACTGGCAGGGATTCCAACATGGGCTACAAGGAGGTGACAGCAGAATGGGTATACAGAGAGAAGTCTGGACTCAGAGTCAGGAGACCTGGGTTCCAGCTCCAGTTCTGGCCGCTACCAGCAGTGACCTCAGTAAGACTTCTGGACCTGCTTCTCCCATGTAATAAAAAGACTGGACCGTGTGATCCCTAGGTCCCTTCCAGCCTGCCACACTGTGCTCAGAGAAGCTTCCAGGAGCCCTGAAAGAGGGGCACTGTCCCCACAGTGACGGACCAGTACATTGAGGCTCAGAGAGGTGAAGTGACTTGCCCTAGGTAACACATCAGGTTCACCGATTTCGGGGTCCATGTGCCTTTCTTACTGCAGGGCTACAACTCCCCTGGCACCCCTGGGTTCCCAGAATCTGGAGCCCTAAGCCTGAGTCAGGCTGGGGGCTTGCCCAGAACCTCATACCATATACAGACACAGGTGAGAGGAAAGACAGAGGGGACAGGTGGGCCGGGAGGATAGTGGATAAGAGGTCACAATGGTGGATGAAGGAGGCAAGAAAATGTTGAGGACGTTGGCCAAAGACCAATTTCCTCCACACGGGTCAGCAAAGATGGGAAGCCAGCCCAGATTAAGAAGGCTGAGGTCTGCACTTTGCCCTTCCCCCGCCTCCAGTCAGCAGTCTGCACTCTCAGCTGCCTCCCCCCACCCCACCCCAGCACTAACCAGTTCTGGATACTGACTCAGCAGACCGACCTCTAGTCTGACCCGGGCCTTGCTGGGACTGTTCCCAGAGAACTGCCATCTCAATGCATCACCAGCCCAGAGAAGTCCCCCTTCCAGACCCCTGCCTCCTGCAAACCTTGGAGTTAAGACTTATAAAATCCTCTTAGAGGGGAGCCCTAAAGCAAGAACCAGACCATAGCACTTCAGAGCTGGAAGGGGCCCTGAAAATGACCCATACCAGCCACCATCTTACCAACATGGAAACAGATCCTCAGAGAGGTACCATGGCTTACAGAAGTCACAGAGCAGGTTAGTGACAGAGCAGCCATGAGAGGCCAGGCCTTCTGGCTCAAGGCAGCATCCTCTGCACCATGCCATCTCTGGCCCAGCCTGAGAGGTAGATGGGGACCCCAGATGTCTGGGGACAATCAAAGTTTTCAGACTCACCATTACCTTGGCCCCAGAAGGCAGTCTTGGTCCTAGTACAGTTGTAACGGGAAAGGAGGGCCCCGTGGTCTCTCCAGAGATCAGACACCGCAGGGCAAAGGGAGGATGTTAGGAAGGGAAGAGCACCTTTGAATATTCACTTAACTTTCCCTGGACTCAGTTTCCCATCAGTGACAGGAGAATGATCACCCCTGCCTAACCCTGCTGTAAGAGATTACTAAGATAAAAGGGATTACAAGATAAGATGGGCTCAAAAGCACTTTGTAAGCAGATTGTCAGGGATCTTTTGTACATTTTAGTGGAGGAAGGTGTCAGAAAGAGATGCCCAAATGCCGAGCCCCTTGACATGTGTCTAGCAGCCATGCATCCCAAAGGGGAGACTGACTTGTTTTTTGGAGGCCACTGGTTAGCACCAGCCCCCATGTGTGAGGCTGTAATCCCCCAGCCTCCCTAGGAAATCACCTTTGGTTTCTGAGGTGCCCAACCCTCAAGTCTAAGACCTTGCTTTCATGTCTTCAGGGTCAGCAGACAAGGAGAGAAGGAGATGCAGAGATGAGACTCAGAAGCTGGGGATCACAATTAGCTCACCTCCGACTCTGGGATTTCAGGAAAGGCCAGTTTTAGGTATTGCAGGCGGGCTGCACGGAGGGCATTGAACCAGTCCACTATCTCCTGTTGAAAAAAAAAGTAAAGGACAGCTAGTGAGATGGAGCAGGGATGGGAGGCTGAGCCGTGGGGTGTGGCAAGAAGCTAGCTGGGCTGTGGGGCGTGGGGCAGCACTGCCTCCAGCATCTGCACACACCCACTCCATAGCTCCACTGAGGGGAATCAGGAAGGGGGATAACGTGGGAAGCCAGTGACATGGAGAACCCCAGAGCCAGGGGAAAGGGTCGGGGTGAACTGCATGACATTCCGAAATAGCCTAGGAATGAGCTTTTCATTTCTAATGTTTGTATGAACCACCTGGGGATCTTGTTAAAATGCAGGTTCAGATTCAGTAGGATTAGGGAGGAGCCTGAGACTCTGCTTTCCTAACAAGCTCTCAAGCCATACGTTGCTATTGGTCAGTGGAACACACTTTGAGGAGCAAGGGTCTAGAAATCACTATTCTGAGATGTCAAAGGCAGACGGGGAACAGGTGCGCCTGGGATGCTCCTCCAGTGGCAATATCCATGGCCTAGAACAAAGCTGGCTTGGCCTTTTCTGCCGTCTCTCTGCAAGATGGTATTCCTCAGCAGTGTGGGCCCCCATTATCTCCCACCTAGAAATCCACATATCTAGCTGGCCTTGATCTGCTCTCAGCTGACCCTCTCACAGTAGCGAGTGATTTTCTAGTTACAAACCTAATGAAGTCTGGCTTAGAGTCCTCTCCACTACCCTCAGGAAAAAAAAAAAGTCTAAGTTCTTTGGTATGACCTACTTTGTCCTCTGAGCACCCCCAAATTTTTGCAACATCCCCAAAGCCATGCTGTTCCCTCCTCTTGCAACATTGTGTCCCCCACCTCACTCCCACACATACCTTTCACCTAGAACATTTCACTCATCCTGTAAGTCAGTTCGTATGTTGCAATAGATTTTTGGGTGCTTACTTAGCCCAAGCCCTCCTTCTGTGAGAAGTGCCCCACCCATCCTCACCCACCCCCAGCTTGCAGCCCCATTCACCAGCTATCATCCCGCCCCTCCTTGGCCACAACAACTGGACCAGGGCTGGACCATTACAGAAGCTGAACTGGGATTGCCAGATTCTTTCTCCTAGGAATGTGGAATTCGGAGGTCAAAAGACTTGTTCAAACAGTTTCGGTGCTGGACTTGGATGTAATACAGTGATAGGGAAAGTCATTTGAATATGGTTTCAGAGGAATGAAACCATTTCCCTTCCTCTCTTATAGGTCAAACACACAAGCCTAGTAGCCCAGGGTTCTAAGCTCTCTTTGGGTAGAGGCTTGTTAAGAACCTCCTTAGGTCTCAGGCACTAAAGGAAGGGGGCGAGCCCAGAGAAGATGTCCCCAGACCTTCTCTCCTGTCACAGACTGTGTAGTGATCTTGGGGCAATGTTTATTTGGCTCCTGAAGTTTTGCTTCAATCCTTGAGGCAGGTTTTCCTTTGGCCACAGACCCCTTATACCTGCCCACTTCACTTTTAAGTGACCTACCTGGCTCCTGAAGGCATGGATTTGCAGCCCCCAAACGCCGGGCTAACAGAGAGGCTGCAGCCTCAACTGAATGAGAAGAACATCCAGGCTCAGACTGACAAGTAAGAGGGAGCCAGGTATCCCCAAGTGTCAGAGACCTAGGGCATCTCTGCAAAAGTCCCTGTGGCAGTGATTGGCATGAAGGGGCAGTCACCAGTATTCAGACAGTTTAGACACGGGGCAACAGCAGAGAGCCCACCATGGACCAAGAACTAGGGACCCCCTCATGTTTCCCAGACCACACAAGACCTGAGATTCTGGTAAAAATAAGGGAGAGGGTCAAGGAAGATGACTGATATGAGATTTCTTGCTAATTTGGGGAAGGGGGCCCTTGAATTTAGAGAAACAAAGAAGTGTGACACTATTTTATCCCTAGTGTTAGAATAGTTTCTCTCTTTCTCTCTCTCTGAGTTTCTGATTCTAATCTCTCAGGAGTCTCAGTCATAGTTTTTGCCCTTCAAATAAATATATCTGTATTTTCCCCATCTATGGTTCACCTTTCTTTTTTTTTTCTTTGAGACAGAGCCTCAAGCTATCCCC